GCACCAACATTGACAAAAGAGATAGTCGAGTTGGAGGAGCTGTGGGAGACTGGCTTCCTGCAGGTTTCAGCCAGACCGCATTCAATTAGCGGCCCAAGAGGCATCACTCAGCTGACCCTGTTGAACTGCTGAACGTATGCTGGGCTGAGAGAGGATAATTAGGGTCTGAGGAGGAGTGAGAGACAGGTGCCCTGCTGCCCCTGCGCTAGAGACAGCAAAGAGGAGCCTTTTTTCATAGTGCAGCTACCTAACCCTCCTTAGGCCTCACCTGCAGGGCAGACGTGGAAGGCAGCTTAAACATGAGCCTGTGAGCTGTGTCAGCCACGGAGCACCTCAGAGGTCGACAGAGTGAAATCAGAACAGAGAGAGAAGCTGGTGTTCAGTCAGCGGCAGGCGGGGATCTAAGGATAAACAGGCGTGCAGGCCTTTGCTTTGCTCACCGCTAAGGAATTCGTCATAGAAAAGTGACTTACTCCCTGTTGTCTGGTCTTTTGCTCCTTTCCAAAGGTGTGGACCTTTGGAGACACAAGCCTGTCCTCTGGTTCTTCCGGTCGTTATTCAGTGCAGACAGTAGCCAGCGACCATGGAGTCCTGTCTTCTCTGGTGCTGTCTGAGACTCTGGCACAGGATTTCCAGCTGCGCTACAACTGCACTGCTTGGAACCGCTTCGGGACTGGCACCGCCTTGGTCACGCTGAAGGAGCAAGGTACACACTGACAGGAGTAATAAACCCCACCAGAGCCATCTACAGAAGTTAGAGTGATATGCTCAATCCTTGCTGTGAAAGGCGGCCAGATTAGGTGAAAGAAGCGCTCCTGTCTTGTGCTTATCTTAATTACACTCCTTGAATCGATATGATTTAATCAGCAGATGGTTCCTTTAATGAATATGTTTGCCCCATAACATAGATATTGATTGGGGACAAAAGTCAATTAGAGGAAGCCACATGTGTTTGCGGGTGGACTCATATTCTCTATCACTGTCTCAGAGCCAAGTACATCATCTCAGCTTGCAGCCCTTTACGTGATCTTACAATTAGGCAGTACTACTACTGCACTGATGCTAGTGGAAGCCTTTGTTCCAGCAGACACCAAAAATAAGGTCCTCTCTAGTAATTTACATCAACGTAGCAGAGTGGGGTCTCCAGAGAAATGGGCAGCGGTATCTCCTGGAATCTCTAATTAGATTACTGTCTGTTGCTTCATTGCATGTCAGGCCTTGTTACCCTTCTTTCAGAGAGATTAGAGACAATAGCCAGGCAGTGGGATTGCCGGATTGCCTGAATGAACATATGCTAGCTGTGAGCAGGCCATGGCTTACTGCAGATGAATTTATATATGCGCAGACATTTCTGGGATTAGCAAGACAAATGAATGGATCTCTTACTTTTTTCCCTCTGATCTGCACATTCTTGACACTTACGCTCTACTATCTCTCATTTCATCCCTCCCCTTCTCTTGACAACCATCTACCCCCACCCCCTATGTCACACTTTTGTTCCATTACTTTTCTTGTTACAGAAGCCCTGCCTATGTTGATAATTGTTGGTGGAGCCGTAGGTGGAGGCTGTGTCCTGCTCATCTGCGTCATCACTTTGGTCTCCCTCTGCTGCAGGCACACAGGCAAAGGTGAGCTCAACGGTTAGTATGGGCAAGAGGGTCAACAGCCAATTCTTCACATCAAAAAGATTAAATCTTTCATTTGTGCGCTGAAAATTGAACAGTGTTTGTTAAGTTTTTTGTGCCATTTCACCCTGTGTTTAAAAATTATTTTTGATGTACAAAAAGTCTACCTGGTAATGTCAAGTAAAGCTCTTCTTCTTTTCAATTCTCACAGGTAAAAGGTGCACTCGTCTTTCCAAGAGTGACATCAGAGTTCAGATTGTTCACAGTGATCACAATGCTACACGTGGCAATGATGATGAGGAGGATGTCAAAGAGCCCATGGTAAATTTCTTTGTTCACGTCTCACGCCAGATATCTCTATCTATGGTTGGGGAAAATTCACTTTTTGTTTTGTTCTTTTTAAAGTGAGGTCTTGGTTAATCCTAGTAATATTTCAAAAATGCTTGGTCTTCCCTCAGGCTCCGAACAGCAGCGAGTCTCCTGGGACGTCACGCACTGAACACAGTGACCTCCTGGAAGAGGAGGAGGATGAGAGATCAGACATCAAGGTAAAACAGAAAATACTTATTTGGAGAAACACTCTCAAAATAGCAAGAATGCATTATTTTCATCCAATACTAAACTATGTAAAGTTCATAATTTGTTTTTCTCTGTTCTTCTTATAGGACCCCACCAATGGCTACTACAATGTCCGTGGCCATGAAGACCGCCATATCCGCAGCAGTGGATTCTCTGAATATGTGCCCAACTCTCGGCCAGTCTACACACCATCGCAGCTGCCCTCCCCCAGCCCCATATATGGTCAACATGGCACCCAGCCTCGTATCTATGACTTTTCCCACCGATACGCAACCACCACGGCGGGCAGAACCGCATACGAACAGCAGCAAGCTGCCCAGCAGCAACCCGCCCAGCCAGCCAACATTTATCCCACTGATCCCGTCTATAGTGGCTCTGCTTACCTACCTGCTACTTATGGTCGCGCCTTCACCAGTTACGTTAAGCCTGCTTCCTATGAGAAGGTGGATGCATATGACCAATCAGATCAGGCCAGCAAGGTGTCCAGCTCTTCTCGCTTCTCTTATGCCTCCTCACAAGTGTCCTCCCAGCAGTCTGACTATGGCCGGCCCTCACAGCGTATGCAGACGCATGTCTGATTGGACAAAACAATTGGGAAAAAGGAAGAGTACAGGAGTTGTGAGTAGATAACCATTGTCACCTCCACATACATGTGTGGCTGGACTAACATGAACAGTCTTTCTTCACTCAGAGAGTGTCGGACAGTGTTTGGACAGTATATGGAGGGAGTCATGTGATTTAGGTTATGAGATAACCAACGTTTATTTGTTGTGATGGTTGGCGGGAGCTACAATAATGCTAACTGTAGAGCTCCTGAGCAGGATAATTCAGCAGATTGTGATGTTCAAGTCAAATTTATGATTACAGTGTGATACCTCACCAGGTTATCTCTACATGATGACCACCCAAACCTGTGGAGATATTCTGTCAGTGCAAGGGCCAACTAGAAAATAAAGCAAATGCATCTCCTGGATTTTGGGTGGCCAAAGTGACTGGGGTAGCCATTTACCTGCCTTCCAGAGTTTACTTTGTGTCAACACTAAATGTCAAACGTGACCTCTAAAATACTTTCAAAGAAGAAATGACGAGCTAAGACATATTTGCGGGAAAAAAACAGATCTGAACAACCTTCTTTTGTCTGTCATTTGGTGTTTTGTTGGCATGCAAAAGGAATTCTAAGCACATTTGTGTCTCTATCATCAACAAAAGACTGAGCTATCCACAGAGACAGACAAACTATTCTGCACAACAGGCTAGCTCTACTGACCAACAAGTGCTACAGGCACTGTACTGTATGAAGAGTCTAATCATCAGTGGAATACTTCTGGCCTGAGCTGTATTCCTGTCTTCTGATAATAACCCTAACATGTTTGACTTGGCAGTGTTGCATTTTTGTGGATAAAAGAAGGAGATATGAAGAGAATGTGTATTTTAGTTTTTTAGTTTTAGTTAACTGTGTGTTATACCAAGATGGATAAGATAAGGCCATGGAAACCCAAAGATGGTAATAATTTTGTAGGGAGAAACAGGGGCTGAGTACTGCTGCCCTAACCCTGGTACTGTTTTCTGATTGTAAAATAAAGAGTAGGCTATTTCCAGAACAATCAAAAGTGGTGGAAAATGGTGGCAATCTTGAACTTGAAATAAACTTGAATGCAACGTCAGCAGGCTCAGGTGGGGAAAGATGTGTAAGGCAGTCCTAATGTGGACCATACACTCTCAAGTTTTACAACTCAATCAAATTGTCTCAATATGTTTACAAGAAACAGTACTACCCTGAAACACTAAGTATCTGTACAAATGGCTGAGCCCATACCTTCTCTCTGTTGCATGCAAATGATGTGTCTAGTGAAAATCTTCAGCGTTTATATTCATGTCCATTTCATGTTTGAGACATTGGTTTTTACACCTGGCCCCATTGCATTCCAATTCCTGGATGTTTCAGTATGGATGCCTGTACTGCCATATGTCTAAAAAGCTGATACCAGGCAGCATGATGAGAGAACAAATGTCACTTATACTGAGGAGGCAAACATCATCGCTTGTCTTTATTTTTATATTTTATATAAGCCTTAATGTACAGCGTGTAAGCTGCTCTATTGTAAAGTATCTTTATATACATATGTATCTATCTTGGTTGATTTATTTGGGTCCACAGATTGTCTTGTCTAAGTTGTTCATCAATCATTGAATGCAGTTACTATGCTTTTTTGGAACACAACTAATGGCCATTTGTTTGTTCATTCTTTTAATAATGTATTGAGAATTTTATTTGCTAAAAATGAGCTATCGTTGCTTGTACCTTTGTACACATATTTATATTTAAATAAAACCCATTTCCGATAAAGAACTGGCTGGTGTGTATCCTGAGAGTTAATCAGCCGGGCGAGGAGTTTCATTGTCACTGTTCCCCATACGCAAACAAAGCTTCCCATGTAGCAACAATGATGAATACATAAATTAGCAGCGCTGTCTATGTTGATTTTCCTATTCCCCCAGTGGTGTGCTGCTTTTAATGAAGACAGATGAGAAAGTAGAACTCCCACTGTATGCCCATCTCATAGGGTAATAGAATAGAGCTGTGACAAAGGTAGGTATTATTTGACAATATGAGTTTGTCTTGTCACCTTCGTTCCCCAGGTAGGCATGCTGCTCACAATGGGGAGGAGAGGTACACGCTCATTACAGTTTTACTGTGAGAAGGGACAAGGTCTCATAAGACATGCATTTATTATGCAGAACATAATACAAAACGAGACCTCGTCAAACACAAATGATACTGATAATGCAATTAGGTAGTGAGAAATCAGATAAAAGATGTTTATTATCATGACTGTCATATAAAAACACAAACAAAGAAAGGTTATAATGCATGTATATAATCCAAATCACAGTGTCAGTGTGCAATGCTCATGAGAATATTTGCCTCTCCCTACTTTGTGAAAAATACACTTTGCAATTGCATTGTTTAACTGTATTTTTTTTTAAAAGGTCAGTTGAGCAATATACTCAAATATTTCTTCTTAAATTTTTTTTCCCCACATATAAATCTATATAAATCTTTTGGTTTGCCAGGATACAATATTTCCAAGGATAAGTCAGAGATGAGGGAAACAGTTAGAGAAACCATTCAGTCAAATCTTCAAATTCATCAAATCTTAAAAGTTGATTGAGTTGATCATGACCAAAGAGAAGAAACTCTCATAGGGATAAGATTTCATTGCATTACTCCGGCAATCAGTGAAAACCCCTATTGGTTTGCTTTAGCTCTCAGATGTGTGTGACTGAAGACCCCAATCACCCTGAGCTTAACTAGAGACCTGTGCAAAAGCCAAGAGGATCTAATCATCATCCTCTGCCCCCCCTTTTTTAATATCATATTTTGGCAAGTCATTCACACAGCAGACAAGGCCAGCATCTGTAAATATGTAATAAAAATACTGATGTAGGACTGATGTCCAAAGCAAGATTTTAGATTGATTAATGCATTTTATACCTCCCAGGCAGTTTCTGGTTTTAATTCTAGTATGATGTAAAAATTTCCCTGCATGGATTTGAGCAACATGTTTAATATTGTTAAGTTCTTGTTCTTTGTTGTAACTTCTGTTATCACCACATGGTAATGCAGATGTCTCTACAAGATTATGTTTAGACTTTACTGATAAAACCTGGGAAAAATGGATGCTTAGCAGATAAAAGAAAAAAATCTTTCATCAATCTAAAAGCCAAAGCTATGCTTTGGAAAACTGTCAGCAGTATGTGTATCTGCTGTGTTTGGTCCTTTAAGATACTTGATAAATAAACCCCCAGATTTATAGCCATCTATAGCACGATCCCACTGGCAAAGTGCAACACTGACTGACCCAAGAGGATGAAGACATCTTACCTGCATACACATTACTAAGGCTTGAAAGCACGATTACTTTTTCCAGGGAGGGACACTGTACTTTAACACTTGAAAATCTGTAAAATGTTCATATTCTTCCTATAAAAAGGTTATATTGGACAAGTATTGGGAAATTCTCAGAATATGCATTTCATTATTTTTACTCTGTGTATATTCACTAATGCAACATGACAATATTGATGGGGGTAAAAGAGACTGTGCTGATCTACACATTTAAAAACTATACAAAACATGAGATGGTGTGGTTTACGTGTGCGTGTATGTGTGGGATGAGTGGGGAAAGAGTCCAAATTAAGTCCTTTAAGTCATTCATGTGAGTAGCTGGGTCCATGCAGCAGTATCCTCAGTTTGCTGGCTAAATGAATACATCTTGACGAGACTTGTCCTGAATCATACTCAAATGTTCAGTCTCCCATTATTTTTAGCACACTAGCGTTGTTCCCTGCGCCTCACAACACCATCAAATCCCTGTCTCCTTCTTGATCCAGTCTCTCAACTTGGTGACACGCGTGTAGACACCGGGCTTGTTCCGGCGAGCGCACCCCTCACCCCAGCTCACGATGCCGGCCTGGAACCACTTGCCACTCTCTTCGAAACACACCAGGGGGCCTCCAGAGTCTCCCTGGTACGGACATTCAGGGGAGAATAGTTATTAGATTTGGTTTGGATGTGAGAGCACGATAATTACTAAAGTGTGAAAACCTATCTATATCAGCCCTTCGTCCTTTTATCCTTTTCTGGAGGACATGTTACACTGTCTCACCTGGCATGCGTCAACTCCTCCAGCCAAGAATCCACTGCAGAGCATCCTGGAGGTGACTTGGCCCTCCGTGACTATGTCGCACACCGTGTCGTTGATGATTTTCACTGATGCCTTCTGCAACAGCTGTGCCTTTTGACCTGAAAAAGCAGGACAAGGGGGTCAGCGCTCTGCCACATGACTTCAGTGTTCGTCACAAACATCAGAAGGTGTTAATGGGCGGGATTAGTGTTAGCTAATGAAGGTTTAAGAGGTGTCCCAAGAGAGCCAACGTCTGTCTTGATATATGAATATAGAAGGCGGCTTAATGGAATAAAGCAGATTAGAAAAAGATAAGAGAAAACTGGAGGGAGAATTGAGTGGAAGAGAAGTATGTCATGATGGGAGAGATAAAGAAATGGGAGGGACATTAAAGGAAAGCAAGAAGACAGGATGAAATGAGAAAGATGAAGGAAAGAAGAAACAAGCAGGCAGGGAAAGAAGATGAAGGACAGAGATGAATAGCTAACTATGAGAAGGATGGGGGAGGAGCGGGATGTCTTAATTTTGATGTGGGATGGATTTGCAATTGTAGGAATAACATAATTGAGGAATAACAGCATAAATATTCAAAAGAAGTATGCTAACCAGTTAAAGTGAAAAACAAGAAACTACAGTTCTACCCATAATCACCCATTCCTGCATAATACCTCCTTCTCGGAGCAAGCCCCAGCCTGTGACCCAGCAGGACATGCCTGCAGGAAAGACGTGGGAGGAAACGGGTAGGCAGATGGGTTGGATGGTGTTGGTAAACTGCAGTGGCTCACTGAGCTCCAGCAGTGCAACGTCATAGTCAAAGGTCATCTGACTGTAATCAGGATGGGTGATGATCCTCTTCAGTGAGCGGAGCTGTGTGCCATCCAGCTTGTACTGGTCCTGCATGCCACTGTAGGTTTGCCAGTTGGATGGAATCAGGTTCCTGTGGTAGAATGTATAGCATCATGGGCAGCAATTATGTTTCTGTACACGCATGAAACAGGTTGAAATAATATGAACATGTGTGCACTGTAATCCAACACCATGCCCCTGAAACATTACGCTACTGTAAGGTTATAGTTTTTGTTAAGACTGCTTGAGCTCAGCAAATTGATAAGAGCAGCTTTCAACATCAAGTAATTCAAACACCACCACAAACTACATCCTCTCTAACAGTCTCTACAAAAACAACATGAACATTATTAGCTATAAAAGTATTTTTTGACATAACATTATTGTATTACATTCAACTTTCATGATATAGTTGCCACCCTTGTACAAAAACACGGTCAATTACATTAAGACATATGATGATATGACTATAAAGAAAGCAGTGACTTGAATGAGTAACCTGGAAAATGCTTACAAATTAAATAACAGAATTGCATACAGCAAGTATTAACACCATCTGTGAAAATGAACACATTCCGTGCTCAGTAACAACAGAGGTGGCTGTGGCTGAACAGCATGGTTAGTGCTCCACCTACAGGGCACACTGATGAATTCAACTGTGAAATGTAAATTTATCCCCCCCACTCCCCCAAGGTTTTTCTGAATTAACTGCATCACCAGGGGCTAATTTTCAGACTTTGCAATTTGTATATACAATTTGTATATAAATGGTCCTCTGTTGTGCACAGTTCCACATTTTTTCCAGCAGAATATCTGTGAGAATATTGCATAATGAGATCTGATAAAATGATAAAAATAGTGTGATGAATAATAAAATATAAGGAAAATAATAACAGTTTATACATCAAAACATATGAAAGGGACTGTGTTACAGATTATATACAGTATAGTCCTGCCCTGCTATGGATATTTAAGCTTTGACTCACGCATCGTCATGGGTGCGAAAGCAGTGGGAAGCCGAAAGGAGCCACGTCTCAGATATGATTGAGGCGCCACAAACGTGCCCATTGGTCATGAAGTGAAGGCTGACCTGCCAGGGCCACTCCCCCACCTCAGCGTTTTGCCCTCCTACGATGCGGTTCAGCTTATAGGGCCTGGTGCCACAATCTGACATTTAACAGAGAATATATTGAGAGAGGAGGGGTGATGGTCAGTGCAATACTAGTTGAGGCTGGCATGAATGATCAGAGGGAAAAATCTGAATTAGTTGACTTGAAGCCATCACGATGCTGGCCTTGGTTGTGAATGACTCTTAGGAACTCTAATGAGACACACTGGCATATTGGCTGATCCAACCAATCAAAAAATAAATAAAAAAGATAAAAACACAGACACGCCCTCAGGCTTAAATGGAGTAAAAAACAAATACTTCAGAGATGACAAGAGCTGCTTTCAAAGAAGAATTAAATAAATAAAGCAGTCAAAGCCTGGGGCTCTTTTCTAACAGACAGCCTATACGCACAGCTCAAAGACATTAGATCCACTTTAAGCAGTTTTAAAATTTTGAAAAAAGGTGGCTTTTGTAAGGCCTGAAAGAAAAACGTTCTTACTGCAGCTGTCCTCGTCTGACTTGTCAGAGCAGTCGTCGATGCGGTCACATTCGGCATTCAGCTTGTTGACACATTCATTGTTCTTACACTTGAAGCTGAAGTCAGAGCAGACACTCCGAGCTACAGTGGGGTGGAGACAGGTCCCAAAATCAAAACACATAGCGTATTTCAATCAAAGTGTTAGAGCGCCACTAAGTTTTACCAGTCAAATACTATGCAATCAGCGAGGCTTAAAAGTGAGGCTTGAATGCACAATGCATAGTGATTGAGGAGCAGATTGCATTGATTGTGGGTATTGATTGAGGTTGAGGTCTAATATCCCTCTTTATTCATAGAAATGAAAATCAAAAGGAAAAGCAAGAGTGCCCTCTGTGTTAATGTGAGCGTGTGTGTGTTTTTGTGTGTGACCGAGTAAGTGAGTGAAAGGGAAATTGATAAGCGTGAGTAGAGTAGGAGGAAATGAGAAAGTGCTAAAAGAAAGTGAACAGTGAAAAATACTTATACTTATGCTGTGCATCATCTTTGTAAAACCCAAAACTTTACTGAGTTATGGATAAAAGGTTACTGCTTAATTGCTTGTGTTACATGCTTATAAATTACTCTGGTAAGGATTTTTTGAAATGCGTGACTGGCTGGGAGGAGAATAAGTGCTGCCACTTACAGTCTTTACATTTGGCCTCGTCGCTTCCGTCTTCACAGTCCTGCTTACTGTCACACACAACCTCCTGAGGCAGACAAACCCCGTTACCACAGCGGAACTCATTCGCCTCACAACCTGGAGGAAATTAAACATGGTGATGAGGAAGTTATAATAAAATCAAGAGAAATGCTTGAATAAGGAGAAGACAAGCCGTTTCAGGACATTAGTGGTGCAGCCACGGTGGACATTAGCACCAGTCTCCATTTGTCTTGCGTGTATTACACATGATTAAGTGTCTGGACGGATGCTGAGCAAATTGGGCAAGGCTTCAAACAAACTCCATTACTGATAAAATAATGACTGCACGCAGCCCAGGAGTCGGTGACCGGAGCATTAGCAGTGATGTGCATTTAATGTTGGCACAATTAGCATAGCATTAGATAAGGTTTGTGTTCCCTAAAACGCACTTTAAAGAGATGGTAATACTTACCGCATTGTCTCTCATCGCTCAAGTCTCCGCAGTCGTTGACGTGATCACACACAAAAAGTTTTGGTTTGCACAGGCCATTCAAACAAGCAAACTGGTCGGCCTCACAATCTGAGGCAAAAAAAATGCAATCTATTAAACAATGCAACTGAGAAAGTTGATTTGAAAAGGGGACATGATGTCACCAGTAGAAGACAACAGAAATGTTATGCCTTAAATAACTTGTTAGTTTTTGAGAATTGTGCTTATTTGCTTTCTTGCCAAGGTTTTGGGACGCCTGCGTTCACATGCACATGAAGGTTAGTGACATCCCATTCTTAATCCATAAGGTTTAAAATGGAATTGGCCCACCCTTTGCAGCTGTAACAGCTTCAACTCTTCTGGGAAGGCTGTCCACAAGTTTTAGTAGTGTGATCATGGGAATTTTTGACCATTCTTCTAGAAGCGCATTTGTGAGGTCAGGCACAGATGTTGGACGAGAAGGCCTGGCTCACAGTCTCCGCTCTAATTTATCCCAAAGGTGTTCAATTGGGTTGAGGTCAGTGACACATTGGGAGTTGTACCCGGCTCTCCCACACCAAAGGCAAGCATCTTATCCACTGCACCATCACCACCCATAATCTCCCCTTCACCAAAATTTACACTTGGCACTATGCTGGCCACACAACTTTTAGAGGTGTGTAGCTATTGACTCTGCAGAAAGTTGGCGACTTCTGTGCATTGTGCGCCGAGTTTCTGTTGTCCCCTATCGCTTCTGCTTTGTTTTATGGGTGGTGATGGTGCAGTGGAATATTCAGTAGTGAGGAAATTTCATGAATGGACTTATTGCACGGATGGCAACCTATCACGGTACCACGCTTGATATCCCTGAGCTCCTGAGAGCGACCCATTCTTTCACACATATTTGTAGAAGCACTATGCATGCCTAGGTGATTGATTTTTAAGCTCCTGGGCCATTGAAGTGATTGGAACATCTGAATTCAATGATTCTGAGGGGTGTCCTAAAACTTTTGGCAATTTAGCGTATGCAGGATAATTATGAAGCTACAGCCAGTGGCCAGTTAGCTTAGCTTAGCAGAAAGAAAAGCAGAGGGTGAGAAATGAGGAGGGGAAGAAAGACAAAAAAAAAGGTGCAGATGGGTCAAGGGAGAAACTTACGGCACTGCTTCTCGTCGCTCATATCACCGCAGTCGTTCCAGCCATCACACTTCAGTTCTTTCGCAATACAGAAGCCAGATGTGCAGGCGAACTTGTTGGGGCAAGCTGCTCACAAAACAAGAAAAAAAGAGGAAGGGAGAAGAGAAAATAAGACAGAAAGACAATGGTGACAAATTGAGCAAGAGGGAGTGACAAGTTTATGTTTGCAATATCTATCATGCTGCCAATGCTTGTCCCTGTTGATCAGAGCAATTATAAATCCATTTTGGTCAAACTGGGAGACAACATAAAGAGCAGATAGTATTGTAAGTGGAATGCTCCTGACTGACACTGGCAAATAAAATGGACCCAATAAACAAGCTCTCTGGTGACTTGTCTAGCTCTTGACTTTCACCGCCGCAATTTCTAACCCTCCATCACTAAACAGCTCTGTTTGACTGTCAATCAGCTACGGTCTTGTAGCCTCTCAGTCTACACAGTTCCTGCCCCAGTGTCTTGCTCTATAATGGCAGGCTATGAGTGTCACTGTCACATCGCAACATTTCATCCGTCTCGCCAAGTGTCATGTAAATGTGGGTGCAAGACAAGGCTTTTAACTCACGGTCTCCAGGATCATAGGAGCTGTACTCTGCACTGAACCCTTTGTCAGTGTAGGACTTATCGGAGTGGAACTTCACATTTAGCACGTTGTCCTTACTGGTCAGAGCCAAAGAGGACATTTCTCCGCAATACCTGTGCCACAAGGCCAATGTTAAAGAGAATTCAGGTTTATGACAACTTAGGTTTTATTTTTTGTACTTCTAGTGGTTATAATGACAATGTGCTCACTAAAGTAACTGTCGAGATTAGGGAAAAGGGCAACCCCGCTACAACAATGTCCAACAGGGCAAGAAACATGCAGTCAGACAAGTTGTAAAGAAATCAACAATTAAGTTAGATTATATTTGGAGGCAAATACAGCAAGTTCAGCGGGTCAAAGTTGAACCATGAAGTCAGCTTGGTAAATGTGGCGGATGTTAACGACAGATGGTCCAAGGTATCATTTAAATTAGTTAAAGTCTTACTTGGTGTCCATAACCTCCACGTAGTCTTTGTGACACACACGGGTGTCCACCCCAGGCTCTTTCATGCGGAACATGGTGAACTTCAACCGCACATGCTTCCCAGCAGGGACCTACAGCACAGAGGAAGAGGAAATAGACTTATAACTTTGTTTACCATGCACATTACTCCTTCACCTACACACAGAGACATGCATCGGTCTGCCCCAATGTAAATGTGAGCAGACAAACTGTAACACACCCAAACGGGCCTTGGGTGCACACGTGCATGTGTATGTACACACAAGCATTCTACATACACACCAGGAAGCAAAACCAACACACAAAACACTGCAGCTCAGCTAGAGCTGCGGCAGCAACAGCAGTCTGACAGATGAAGATAGAGGAGGTACTGAACAGCTTGGCTTCTATAGAGCTGCCTCAGCATTCCTCTGATGGCAGGCTGAGGACAGAGGAGGAGGAGGAGGAGGAGGAAGAGGAGGAGGAGGAGGAGGAGGTGGTGGGTGAAAGGGTTTCAGGTAGAGGAGGGGGCCAGGGAGAAGAGCAGTGTTGCAAACCTGAATGGTCCACATGCAGTCCACCGAAGGAGGATAGAAGCTGGGGTAAAGTGGGGAGGTGAAGACTCCTTCGCTTTTAGAGAGGAGACCACCACAGGTTTGCCCTGAAAAGAGCATGTCATATAATCACATTCGTGTATAAGACATTATCATTTGTAATGGGTTTAACTATAAAGAGAACTTAAATTGTAGATGTAGATATTGTACTGAATGCAGCTGGAAAATGGATGTTGTGCCATTTCCAGCTGCATTCCAGTGCCACAAATGTCTTAAATACCTTTAGAAATAGGGATGGCGCTATAATTAGCCTCAAAGCCAGGCCTTAGAACTTCACTGTCAGTAATCATGTTAATCAACATGATGTTGCCAGATGACACCACCTCCAGAGGGTTGGAGGGAGGCCTCTGACCACACTTCCTGTGAGAGAAGGATGAACTGTCAAGCAAGACGGTGCACAAATCAGGTACAGCTATAGAATCCGAAAAGGGTGTTTGGAACAAATAAGCAAGCGTAAGATGAACGTCTGATACATTTACTGAATGGTGTTTTGCATTTCTTGGGGATGTGCAACACTTGGGGAACTAAAATCAAGCTGTAATTATTTTTAGTCAGAAGCACTAAAACATCAATTCAGCAAACAAGTTTAAAATGCTTCAAGAAAAATTTTTTTGAAAAGAAATCAATAGATAAGCAGAGAGAGGTAGAGAAAGACATAAATAAGGAGAGATGTGCCAGCACTAGAGAGAAATTGCTTAGGCAGAGTTTCAAAAGTTAAACATTAGGTACATTAGCAAAAAGTTTCGTCATTGCTAGCGGCTGAGCACTGAAGGTGTGAATGACGCTGCAAGAGCAGTAATACATCTACCTCCAGTAGAATAATGTCATTATAGAGTATTATATTATGGCTCTCATAAACCTCATGTCACCTTGGATAAAGCTGATCGCTCAATAGCTTTATAAAAATTGTATGCATCACTTGGTAACGCATATTTGTTTGGCAATGGTTTCCGAGTCTTAAAGTGCCTGCAGCAACAACTGATGTAGCATTCAGGAGCCTGTAGTTTCAGGAGCCCCCCCCTCCCCCCAGTAGACAAAGTGCAATTACACACAGTGGTGTAGCAGGATTCGTGTCGGCACCCATCACAGATTTGAAAGGAGAGGTCTTTTTGAGCCACCTCAATCTCACTAGGTCTCAGAAGTTAACAATAAAATGGGACATGCAGCGCTAAAGGCTTCAGCCCCCCCCCCAAAAAAAAGAAAAGAAAGAAAGTTACAATCACAAATTCGGTGAAAGGAATGAACCGGAACATGTTTCCCACACACATCAAAACAGCTTATACTCCTAAATCCCTCAGCAGCATTTTAGTCAAATACAAAGTGATTCCTAATGGTTGTCCTCTGGGAATCATGAAAAACGATATTTCCCTTCTCTCTGATCGTCAAGGATAAATAAATGAGACAAATCATTGTTGAGCCCTATCACACAAACCCTGCTAACCAATGTTTAGGACAAAATGAAAATGTGATTTGTGCGAATATTTTATGTAATTTAGGAGCAAAAATGTGTAAACTTTCTGGTTTTCTTTTGAATAAAAATCCTCTCGGGATGAAGCATTAGTGCAAGGACTCCTGCCCGGTACACTGCAAGTAAATAATACAATGATAAAATCTGTTCATTAAGATTTCACTTTAAAGAGCACCAGTATGACCTTGTACCATGCACAACATGCTACCAAAACCCTGTGGACATTCACAGCCCTATGACTTACTGTGTGATGGCCCGAGTTTCATCTGTACTCAAAGAGTCATAGATGAAGACATAGTCTTTATTGCAGTTATCCTCGATGTGGAAAAAAGGGAAACTGACAGAAATGGCATAGTTTTCTGAAGCTCGCATTTGCCACTGACACCGAGACTTGGCGGGGTAGCGATCGGGGTATCCTGGTGACAAAAACGTCTTCACCGTTTCATCAGCCTCCAGACGGTAGAAACAGTCACCTAGGAGTAACAACCGTGTATATATTATACAGTGAGCAGCATAGACATGTGTAGCTTGTCAACAGTAGTTAATAGCTTGTAAATCAAAATGTGATCATGTTTTGAATCTTCATTGGCGAATTTTAACTGCTTTGACCGTTTCCTTCAAAATATATCGATAGTAAAGATTGTATCTTCTCTGTTTTCTCTTGGAATGGATTTTTAATCATCATCAAAACAATTATTGCAAATACAAGTCCATCTGTCCTTAAGTGACTTGCTCTGGCCTGATACAGCGTTCTCAATCTCTGACTAGAGCAGCATATGTTCAGTACACGCCGGGCCAGCCATTCCTTACAGACTGGCAGGAGGGTGAGCATCTAGCCAGCTGGAAAATTACAACTGCGCGTGATTGAAATGGGACATGCTGTACTCACTGGTTTTGGGGTTCCTGGCCATGCGAAAATCTGTGGCTGGAGAGAAAGGGAGAGAGAGAGGCAGAGTAACAGGAGGAGGTAAGGATGGGTCACTAACATTGGGAGGCTGATAGAATTTGATGCATGAGCCTAAAATATTTGGGTTGCACATTTTCTGTTCCATTTCCCTGCGGTTAAGGGAACTGGTGATGACGTGTAGCCATTTCTGCATCTCTGTTTTAACTATCTGGGAAAGCAACATCAAATCATACCCACAGAAATAATTTTAAAGGGAACCAAAACCACTGAGTCACAAAGCTGGAACTTGGCTGGTGGACAGATGTGGACAAATGCAACGTGAATGCTGAGAAGACAGAAGGAAGAAAAATGTCTGTCTCAAGCCAGGCCAGGCCCAGCTAATATCATTAGATGATCCAAACAGCATAAAATGTGCAATCTCAGATGCAGCACAACCAGAGAGGCCTGGCTTATCGGTTATCATCTTATCAGAACAACTCAGAGCAAGCTCCTATAATACAAATAGAAAGCATACAGAATACCAATGCTGATAGGAGATGACAGTGACCTTATTCAGATCTGTATTCACGATGCTTTATCTTCGCGGATTGTTAAATGTCATAATATGGAGCCAGCTGTAGCAAACACCAAGTTGTCCCCATCTTTTGACCCCTTGGTGTGACCCCTCCTAACCTGCCCCTGTGGTACCTACCTGAGGCAGTGACTTCAGTGATCTTGATAATCTTGGGGCTCGTCAGGCTGCGCTGCTCCCTAATGCCTTTCTCCAGAGTCTCCAAAACACGCAACTCTGAGAACTTCGGCACAATCTCCAAGTCTTCGACCGGAATGTCAAACTGGGACCAGTAGTAGGCTTTCACACCCGCACTGGTGTGAGCAGAAATGAGAGAGAAATGGATGGAAGGAAGAGCATAAAAAGACCTTTCAGTAACAAGCTTCAACATTTAAGAAGACTAGTAGATTTGGATTACTGTAAATCATAAATATCTAGCAGTAGCTGCATGCTCTGTCCACATGCTGTGTGATTACTGTATAAATCACACAACGTCACACTCCGCTACAGTGCAATGTTACACACATAACTGGGCGTGATTACAGGTCAATAGACCACATCGAACCTAAAATCTTCAACAACAAAACATTTCCTTCATACAAGATTTAGTGTGAAGTTTCTTTTTTACATTCAGTTTTCACAATCTGTTCAGCAGTAACATAGAAATTTGAGGAGCTCAAGATCTCAACGGTACCTGAATGCAGTGACCACAGACGTAGTGTAGTATTTTGCGAGCAAAGAGTCTTTCTTGTAGCTTTCCTCCAGCTGTGTAGAGAAAATTAATTTTTACTGAGGAGAACATGTACAAGGTCTCTGCTTGTCTGCCTAAAGACAAAGTGCAAATTAGCATGTTAACATAAAAACCGCCTCCCATGAAAAGCACATCACCACGGGATTCCAAATTAACTGTCTTGCCATCAGCTGCAGTGAGCTGCGGACTGCAGACAAGGCTGTAGTCATGCTGTGGTCCTAAATGCAGGTCATTACCATATTTTACGCATGTACAGTGTTATTTAACTTCAATCAAAGTGCTTGTTGTGAAAAGTTAACATAAAAAAAAGAAATATTTGTTTTTATATAGATTTATTTGTTTAGCGATAAAAGCTAAAAATGACATGGAGGGAGAAGAGAAGGATTGTTGAAAGGACTTAGCGGTTAAATATCACAAAATAATATCAAGACCGGTTTCAAAATGTACATTTCTAAAGTGTAGGTTCGCACCATCAAATATGAACCCACTGCCATTTTACTAAACCCATCTAGAAGATAAAATAGTGGAGATAAAATATAGTTAGATGATTTTCAAGGAGTCCACAGTCAGGTGGAGCCAGAGTGGTGGAGTAAAGTTGCAGGACAACTGGTTAAACATAATGCCTCCATCTCTGAGGTGCTTTAGCCCAGCATTGTTTACTTTGAGCCATACTCTGCAAGTTGTACCTGACATGTAAACAACAATAACCTAGATCTGAAACTATTCCAGTCCTAAGCTGTCCTTTATGTTGTATGCAAGGGCAAAGCTAGTACATCATAAACCTTACCTCCCAAAATCATCAAGACATCTAATATTCCAGTCGGCCACTTCCACTAATATACACTTTAGACAATCACTTTGAGCTTTACACAGAGAGTGTACGCTTTATGGAGTTTGGGTTTTTTTTAGCTTTCAGCATGCTTCTAAGTGCTGCTACAAACATCTCCGCTGCCTCCAATAACAGGAGATGCTATTGAGGGAATTTCTAAGGGAATGTACAGCGTTTTAGTCAACCCACGCAAATGTGCCTTCAGCAGTTTATGTGCATTAGGAGGGACATTTACATAATGCCAAATAACATCCACAACTAATCCTGAGTGTAATGCTCTTCTCAAAATAGTTAACAATAAACAATGTAGATGATAGAAATGTAACAAAAATAGAAAGGTAATCTTTCACATTCAAACTCACAAGTGCCTCCAGGTTGACCGCCAAATCCGTGAATGCCGGGCTGTTCGAATCCTCCAGATTCTTGTCGTATGGTACATCAACCATCCTCAAATGTCCACTGAAGACCTTTGTCGATGGACTGAGCTGCATACTGCTGGTTGCTGAATTGGCACCATTTACTTGGAGGAGAGAGGCAGATGAGAGTTGAGTGTTTGAGCAACAAAATGCTTTAGGATAGCTGCTTTGATGAAAGAGGAGTCTTGGGGGTTTAAAACAGGCCTTGAAGCGCTATTTTAAAGTTGTACAGTGTGATCTTATACTGAAAAGACAGTTATAAGTTAGTTATTAAAACAGCCAGTTGAATCAAGAGGCTGTTTATCAAGACTTCAGAGGCCTTTTTCATCAGATGTACTGTACATGAAACTGACAAGAAAGCTGTGACATTTTTCTCCTTTGCATTATTAAAAAGAAGAATAAGTTGGAGTTGTCAAATAGGCTATCACTAATGGGAAATTACAAAGTCCAAACAAGCGACTCTTATATCAAAGAGCTGTGCCTTAGCATCAAGTGGAAATTATCCACTTTACAGTTTTTGATATTATGCCCAACTTGGCAGTAACTGATGTCAGAAATGTGAAATACTCACAATTTTTTATTTTATTCTATCAAGAATAACCATGATTTACGTACAAAACGTCCAGAGAATGCCCTACACCTCATAATTCTCTTCATCTTTAAATTCACCCACACCTATGTAAGCATAGTAGCAGTACCCACCTTTGAGTAGTAGAAGAAAGCTTTCCACTATACTCACAGACAAACAGCCAAATGAGGATCGCCGCAACAACCACAAGGATCAAAAGCACCACAAGAACCCCGATCAGGATGCCGACCTTCCGCTTTGATGACACCTTCTCTTTGCAGGTAAGGAAGTCAATCCGCTCACTATGGCCATTACTACCCTGATGTAGAGAAAGAGCAAAATGCAGTTAGCAAACATACAGCAACTATGCCATGTTTTGGATGCAGATAATATTTACTTTGAGCAAACACTAACCTCTGCTTTAACCCAAACCTTAAAACAGATCCCTAAATTATCCATTTTGACTGAATAAATTACATTCTCCCCTCATTCCATGCAGATAAATAATGAAGGGTAGTTAGTTGGGAACCTCCAAAAGATTTTCATTGATTATACGCATCCACACGTCACACATAATGAACTTGAAATGGTAGGTGATGTTGTCAGCCACATCCCGTTTATAAGTACACAAAGTCCTCACTGAGTATTTATGTAGAATTTTGGAATGGTGACATAAATTATATTTTTTATATATAATTGCAGATAGAGAAACACCGTAAACACATTAAACCCATAAAAGGTAATGATAAATGCATCACCGTCCCTCATACTGACAATTTGATCAATGTCTAGACTTGTTAAAACTAGTAGGGAAACATCTTTGACCTGTTCCAAAAAGTCTGTTTGTACTTGAGGAACAGATTATGACAAACCATGACAAAAAAATGCAATTTGAAATGCCCTAAACTACTTTCCAAGAGTGACATGTTCAAACAGGCCGTGCACATAGTGTTTTTGCAAAACTGGCAAAACCTGTTTAGTAAATGTGAGAGAGCTCCCACACACTCCACGTACACACGTTAGGAAACCCGGATAACAAAGAGAGATGCCTTGTAGATATTATCGGCATGGTGGTTTAGGCTGTGTGTATGTCTGTCAATACTGTATGTGTGTGTGTCTGTTGTTGAGTTCTCTCAAGTGGGCAGACAGAGAGAGAAAGGTTTCAGGACTGTTAGTAATCAACACACAATGAATTCAGTGCCTGTAGCTCATGAGTGAAGAAGCCAGAGTGCCATTAGGGATGGAGAATCACTTTGGTATTAAATCAATTTGTCAGATGTGCTGCCCCTTAAGATGGGGGCTCAATTACATGAGTCTAGATGATAACTCATGGCAATTAAGGCCTATTCTTACTCGGCTCAGGCTTCTATACATGCTTTCTAATTGGAATCTCTAACAGCAATCATGGGCCAGAATGAAGGAAATCATTAGAGATGGGGTCAGCAAGTGCTCCAGGGTCTCAGCCACCCTCATCACAGTCTAATAAAACCATTTTTGCTCTTCATCATATCTCATTCTTCTCTCCTAGAAAGAAATACTATCCCATTTTTAACTATGTGTAGCAGTTTTTTTCTTTTTTAAATATCAAGCTCTGTGTGCTATGCCATTAATAATCAGGAAGAAATGCTGTCTAAAGAAAAAAAACACAACAACACTGACTAAAAAAAAAGCTGGTTGCAAAGCAGTCTTCAGGTTTGATATAGTCAAAAGTACGATTCTATACGCAGTTGCTACAGAGCAGCTTAACAGTCTAACCAGTTTGACAAGGGGGAAGCAAGTTGTGAGGTGTGGCTTAAGGGGACAAAAGCTCAGTTGCTATGTTATTTAAACACTAGACCTTATTAACAAAAATGCATGTATACCAATCCACATTAGTGAAAGACTTAATTGGTTGACCATTATCTGGCATTTTGAGATGATCAGCATCAGCTGATACCAGGATCACAAGGCTGATAAACAAAAAATGCCTGCGGACACATCTGCAGGCACCCTTGTTAGTGTGGCTGCTGTGGAACAATGTTAGCGCCGCTCCTCAGTCACCATTATCTTTCCTAAATGTTAACACATTTCTTCTATTCTAAAGGCAGCAAATCTAATCAATTAATTAATTCTTAACAGGCTGCCATTAAATATAGTTATACTGTAGACAATAATACAGCTGAATGGTGTCACTTCTGACAGACTGAATCCCGCTCTCTTATACACCTGTCACAAACTACTGTATTTTTTAAAATTTAATTAATTAATACTAATTCCATCTAAAACAACATTTTACTGGCTAAGATAGCCATGTATATTAGACTGTACTCTGCATTGAATAATGGAATTATACAGGACTTTCTTTGTTTTGATATCAGCATTATATGGACCATCAGCAGCTGGGGCTGAACAACTGATTGAAATCTTATCATAATCGAAATATGGCCTGCTGTCATTTTCAAATGCCAGGAGGTGCAATATTTGTTAATGGCAAAATGTTAGTCAAAATGCTATCTTAAATGAAATATTGTCGTGCTGCACAGATGTACTGGCCTACACATCATATTCTGCAGACTTAAGAATTTGTTTGGGGAAAAAATAAAAATCACCCCATAATTATTTAAATAGGTTTTTCAATGAAAATGATAATAATTCTGTAAAAGTTTACATTCCCTTCAATATCGCAAATCATATCACAATTGCAATATCAGTCAAAATACTGCAAATATAGCCCTATCAGCTGCCATGCTCTTTACATATCAGCATTATAGCCATTGGAAAACCCATATATGTCGACTGTTAATCCAGATCTTTTGCCAGTTTATAAGAGATCAGAGATGGAATGTATTGTAATGTACGGCACTTAGCTATACATTTGAGGCACTGGCACTTAACTTGATTACTTCTGTTTACTTGACTGTGTAGCCTACATCTTGACTGTTCACATAATTATAGTTATTTGATGACTACATTTACTAGTACATGCACAACATACCATGAAATAGAAACAGTATGGTAGTAGTCAGCGCTATAATGTCACCTGAAACATTTTTAACATTTAAAAACTTCTTAAGGCCTATAAGGTTGTATTAGCTTCAGCTGCTACCTATGACCAGTCAGTCATTCGGGTTCTGCCCACGCTGAATGGCAGCAGCAACACAAACATTGGTTCTCTCACCCCTGGGTGTGAACAGCATGTCAGCAATATGCCACTATTTTTCCAAACCACATCTATTTGCGCTGGTGCAGCTCGATATTCTTTCTCTGATAAGCTGACTATACCTGTTTTGAATCAGCTGAGGCAACTCCAGTGTAAACATGCATAAATGTTTAAGAAGACCGACTTCTCTGCTATCTTGTTTTCCATTTAACTGAGTCCTACAATGTATTTGTGGTTCCACAGTGTATTTCTTAGTGCTGCACCTGCTCAAGTAGTTTGTCAACATACTTCAAACAGTGAGCTCTGGAATAGAGCTAGTGCCAGTAGAACTTAACGTAGCCTTGAGTTGCTAGCCTCAAGCAGAAATAAGGAGCAGGTTTCAGAGGTCCGTAAACTCACTTCCTCCACACCTCCCTCATTCATTTTCAAACTTGTCTTCTGCCCCAACCAGTGTTGCCTCAAGTGATGTGTCACTTGAGGCAATTTATCAGACTTTTATATTTATAACGCCTTTTGTGGCTCCAGAGGGAGCCACAAAAGGCCACTTTTTCCACCACACATGTATTAGTACTACCCAAGACCTGTAAACAGACTGTGAGGTATAAGTTCCCATCTAAAAAGCTCTCATATGCCCTCTCCGCATTCACCATTTGTCCTATCCAAACAACCCAGCATGGAGACTGCAGTCAAAATGGGCCAATCAAATACAACAGCCAATCAATGCAATTTAGGCTTCAGTGGGAAAAAAAACACATACACCTAGCTCTTACTTGACAGCAGCCCTAAACACACAGCAGTAAGCCTCTTATACCATAGCATGAGCATGAGAGTGTGGTGCTACAGCCTCGGCATACTATCAGCTTGCTGCTCAAAAGGGAGTTAGGTGGAAGGCTGGGAGCCAATCGACAAAATCCTCCCTTACTGTGTGAATAAAGACATTGAACTTAGATGCATTTAAATGCATCATTCAGTGGAGCCAATCATGACAGACGTGACATTAACACCACATTCACTTCCTCAGTTTCAACATGGCTGCCCTTGAAATGCAAGACAGACGCAGTATGGCCTTGCCTGAATAATTCTTTACGGACTACTCTGCTGAGTCACCACATAGAGAAAAAACTGACAGTTTTTGAGTTTCTCAGGTTAGGTACAGTCTACCATAGATAAAAATGCAAAAGCAAATAACAGAATCAGGTCAAGCAATAAACTACTTCTGTGAAGATGGGAAAGAACATTTGGAAGGGACTTACTGCCCTTATTAGGACACTGCAAACTAAACAGACAAATTTCATCTTTTCTCCCTGTATCTCACAGATATATGTTAATATTTCAAACCTAATTAATACATGTAAATTAATTTATGTAAAGAGGTTTACTCAAACATCCACAATATCTACTGGGTGATTGTTTTGCCAACAAATAATTTATGCTACAACACTGAGCTGAAGCACAGATACCTACGTCCTCACGTTCACAATGATGGACAATACAGAATATATTTATATGAATGCATTCATGTATAATTTTGCAATCTACAACCACTTTTTATACAAAACACAATGCTTCACTAGATCTTAATTCATGACAAGGTGCAGCTCATCATTTCCTTGGGAAATTTCACACACCTTACAGTGTGGGCAGCCATTCATCTCTAAGCTGGGAGGTATTTATAGATATGGACGCTTAACAAACATGGCAAGCTACTGTTTCTTTTTTCGAAGTCCTTGCTTGTCTCACACTATATTAAAAAAGAAAAACAGTTTATTTTGCCTGAATCCCGTTACTGTTTGCTCACATTCTCAGCAGTACACATGCTGGTACACAGCAGTGTGTATTTCCCCACAGGTTAGGACTGTTTTCATAAAGCTGTCAAAGGAAGGTGGTAGAGAGCTGGTGAACTTCAGCAGCACTGACCAAAGCCTTGTAACCATTAATGAATCCCTTTGCAGAGTGAATCTCCCCTTTGCCCGCCTGACAATTTTTTCTGCCCACATCCTCTACTGGTATTTCAATCGTCTGAAACAAGAGATGAATTATGTAGCGACATGAATTGTATGATTGATATTTACATAATGTATGCGTGCTCCCGGAGAATATGACCTTTAGGTTAGGGAAAATAAGCTTTTGGCAGTTTTTGCATCCTATTATCACTTAACACAAGTCTGCTTACGTTTTACACTACAAAAACCTATGGTTTATTCTAATTTAAAAAGAAGCTGTCTTGGTTGATCTAAAAATCACTATAAGTTACTGTGGCAACTTGTTTACAGTGCCTAAAAACAATTACATACCAGTATGCTCATGAAATTTGTTATTCAATCGGTAACAGTTCAACGTGTTTTGCCAAGAAATAAACCTGTGGATGCCCACAACAACTATAGCCAGTAGGAATTAAAATGTTAATGATCTGGTAAATTATACAAAAAAAATTATACAAAAATAGTCCTCACACCCCCTTTAAGGATCTTTGTATATATATATATATATGAAGAACTTAAGACTAATTACATTATCTTCAACAGCCAATAGCATGTATTTTGCCTATTTCATCTGACTTCACATAACTGCTTTTGTGACTGAAATAAATGACTTTGTTTTGTAAAGAATGGGACTTGTTAAAGAGATGAAGATCAACTTGACAATGGAGAGCGAGAAATGTCCAACAATTACTCAATTTTTCATTATGTGCATTGTTTTATTTATTTAAATATCTAATGTGGATGTAAATAAACACTCTTTGTATGACAGTACACAGGCCAAAACGAAAACACCACAGATACCAAATTTTCAACACCAGTCAGGTGGTCCTAGTTTAATCTTCCATTAAAACAACCGTCAATGAGGGAACATTTCTTCTTAATATCAGTGTTGATCCTAGGATTACAGAGGCCCAGAAGCACACTGGCAAAACCACTGACAAGGGCCATGGCTTCAGTAGGGTAGGGTTTGAAATGTTTAACAGTAGGCCTAATCGTGTAAACATACAAAGAAACAACTCTTTCAAACTTGTGTGTAGTAAAACTGGATGTTCCTTTGAGGGAGAATACGACACTGATACCAACGATAATTTATATATATGTGTGTGTGTGTGTGTAAAAGTTGGCCAAACTTACGTCGTATTCATATCTGGCAGAATGCATCTTCCAGGAACGCTCCAACTGAAGTCCCTTTGTTAATTTATTCCCATTCCCTATAGTGCTACAAAACTTTGAATCCTGCTTTTGCAGTGTTGGAAAAGGTAGATGTCGTCGTTAAATCTCAACTCAATCGAAATGCCAGTAGCTCTTCCTGTGCTGTGGTGAGCTACTTCAACTGAAACACCTGAAACTACTTCTTCCTCACACACCTATGCCTAGCCACGCCCACACGGCTGCTTAGTAGCTTTCATTAGGTAAAAAGAAACACCTCGTCAGACTGTCCCAAATTGAAGAGAAGGGAGGGTGCAGGGTAAACGTTACTTCTGACCCAACTACTGTTCGTCTTTTGGGGACTTGCTGCATGTATGAAAAAGTAAGTTGTTTTCTGTATTTCCGGACCATGTGTTCCTCCTGCTGACCATTTGTGGATGTTTGTGGTAAGAACCGGGGGAAAAAAATGTTTTTCGTATGCACAAATCATGCTCACAAACTCATATTTTTTGTCTGCACTATAATATATAATATGTATAAATTGTAATCTTAAAATTGCATGTATGTCTAAAATGTAGACTATAAAGTAATTTTACTGCACTTTATGCAGGCCTACTGTGTATATATAAGGACTTTAAATCACAAAGTAATGAAGTACATTTCCTGATACTTTGGTGTTTCATATTTGCATCAATTGAGCTTTATTTGTTATTCAGTGCTCTAATAATGAGAGCGGCTTACACAATTTAAAAGTGCATTAATTTACTCTACAATGATGGATATCTCCTTTTGGAGATTTCAGATGCCCTCCAGAGTTGTTATGTGTCTGTGGAAGCCTGGTGTGCTGTACGACAGTTTCTCCACTCCACTGACATAAATGTAAAAAACATGTATTACAATGCAACACTATAAAATACAGCCTCAAAAATAGCCAATGCCACTCTGTTTCCTAAATGTTGCATAATAAAGGGGTGTTTCATCGGATTTCAGAAGAAGAGTTGCTATTTTTCACTCACTGTGTATTTGTTCATCTGCTATTGCAGTGGTTTCTGTCTACTTGAAACTCATCATCACTAGTTTTGGCCTTAGTGTGGACATGAGCTGTGATCAGTTTAAAGTCGAAGTTTCCCTCTCAGATTGTTCCTTTGGAAGGCTTATAAGAGGTTTTAAAGTATCCAGTATTTCACATGAAAAAAAACAAAATATAAACAGGATATCAAAATATATCTAAATAACAGCTCTGGGAACACATAACTAAAGCTCCTGCAGTCTGATACAACAACCCTGCAATAAATTCCACCATCATTAAGTGTATAATGTATTTGTTGAAACGTTTTTAAAGAGGTGATGATTCAATTATTCATGTTCATTTTGCGGAATGGGGAAGGTTTATCTGAGCTCGCCTTAAATCTAAGTATGAGCACGATTACGTGAAATCACAACCAGTATGGGTGCTAATCGTGGTCACATGGTGTGATGTGAAAACCTGAAGCTTGATACTGAGAACTGACTTTCCAGTAAAGCTTGAGACATATTGTGTCAAGCAGCTGTTTAACTGCTTGACTCAAGCAGTTAAACTTTTGAAAAGTTGTGAAGGTGTCATTGTAGTTTCAAGATGTTCTAACTAGGTAATGGTTAGGTTGTGGAGAAACCTTATCCGACGATATTCAAGATGTCTTAAAACTTGTGTGGAAGGAGTCTTTAAGAGCTATATTCTCTATGAAGCACCTCCAGCGTTTTCCCCTAGATGACACCATCATACAGTCAGTTTACTGTTTATCCTGAGGTGAAACCTATTTAATAAATTCACAAATTAAAACTGGTAACGTTATTTGTAATTTCAGGTGGATTCTCCCTTTTACACTAACGCAGAAACTCAGTATGCGAGCCTGCCGCGCATCCCCACTCCATCACCACCAGATGTCTCCCTTTACTAAGCCACAGCGAGGACGCCTTGAGTAAAGCCTGAGATAAATACCCGCAGAAACAGGGCTTGGTTCTGACAGACTTCATCCACAGAAAATCCCAGCCTACCATTGGAGAGCCCATTGGCAAGAGCGAACAGGACGCAGACGCAGGAGATATCGCAGGAAGGCGCCGACGAACGCAGTGTCCATCGCTTCAGCTGATGTAACCAGACAGCCTATGTTGGAGTCAGTTATTTTAGAGTAGCAACTTCGTCATTAAACGAGACAAAAGAAGGCGAGAAAATGGGACATACCGCAATACCTATATTGATGGCTGTATTGTCCTACTGCGTGTGGGAAAACGTCGAGGTAAGAAGGACGCAATCTGAGTCATTTCTAACGCTGAATTTTTTTTCTGCTGTAGCCTATGTTTAGCTGAATGTCGGTGTGACTTTTTGACAATACGCCGTATGTCCATGTCGACATTACACATGCCACGCATACAGTTACTCCTATCCCCATATTGCTGACACGCACTCTTATCTGGGGCAGGTTTAATTTGTAAATGCATCCTCGAGCAACCGTGCCATGTCAACAAGAGTAATGACACGCAACGACCACAAAAAACAAAACTAAAACGCAGTGATAGTGAAAGGATTATAATTGCAAAAGCCTATGTATGCTGCGATAAGGTGGCTAAAACTCAGGACGTAAATATAAGAGGCTTCTTAAAGATGTGGTGCACAGTGCATTTGGCTCGCTGCGTCAAGTCTGGGCCTGTATCGGACATGGAAAATGTCACACAGGCCTTTCGCTCTGTGGAGGGATGGATATCAAATCCCGTCTCATTGCGTCCCATCTGGCCTTGTCAGAGGTAGAAATTAGCTCGCATCCGTCATTTAGAGGAGTGGTGCTGCAGCTCTTGAGCCGAATAGAGTCATTCAGTTGCTGTTCTGTGATACATTTCATGAAAGAGCACCGAATAGATTATAAAACTAAAAATTTTAATCTTTCAGTGAGAATCGGGATTTTAAACCACTGTGGCGCATGAACCATTGCCAGATTTCCTGTGGATCATCTTGTTTCATCTTGCCATGAAAATGCAATGTTAATAAACTGGTCATCCGACTTTGATAAATCATTGGCCATGCAGTGTGTTACGGAGTGTACTAATGAGTGATACGGGGTTATCCTATTGGCATCCGTCTCCATCAATAGGCAGAGAGCAAATGGGGAAAGTCTCTTGTAGGCTACAGAGGACAGATCAATGGGCCACGAGCTGCCCCTCCCCCTTAAGACTTCCAGCAGACGCACAGTTTGATGGACTCGACCTTTATTCCGCTATAACTTTTCAGTCATCCATCATCTCCACCCTGCGATAGAAGTGAGGGCATGGATTCAGGTTGGAGCATGGTCACTCGTGTGTAGGAGCAGGGTGGTGTCGGAGGTGCGTGTGAATTTGGAGACGGAGGATGAGTCATGATGTCCCAGCTGGAGCTGTGGCTCAAGTCAAACGTACTTTTCCACCTGGAAATGATCAGTGAATGAACCTCCTGCTCCTGATATAGTATCTGAGCTAGAATATGGGGCATCTTGACTGTTGGTTCAGTCTCCCCCCTAAGAGGATTGGTGAGATGTTTATTTATTAGCCATCTTCCCACAGTGAGTTTGTAACAGTCATAAAGCCTCTCCTTTCATTCTGAAATAATTTTCACTTCTCTAAGAGCCTTAGTGGGATTACTGCTATGCTGAGGAACAGGCTTTAGCTTCATATAAGGAGACCTGCCCATGAAGGTTTATGCTGAAGATTACACTGTGAGAGGGTTGACTGGCTGGATTACTCTGTGGTATTAGTCCTAATAAAACTGTCAGCTTCCCATAATTTACTCATCGTTCATACAGCTCAAATGTGTGAATTCAACAAATTTGTTTTGATCTCTCTTTTATACTTTAGTGTACCAGGATAACGTCCAATCAGAATATAATCACATTTGTAAATTTAATTTTCAGTAAGTGTTCTGGATTAGTGAAGTCTTTTAAGCTAACATACAAATTCAGCATCATCCCATGTTGTTGGTGTTGTGATTAGACTGACACACTGATGCCAGGTTGTCACAAATGTCAAATCCAGTAATGGCTTCCCAGGTTTATATCAGCTGTATATAATAACACTTAGCTGTCGCAGCACCTTTTAAAGTATTTAGCTAATTAACACACTGAATAGTAAATAAAAGGGTGACAAGATGACAGATGACAACCACCTTTATGGGCAGCCTGTAAAATTCTATCATGTAGCTTAGCATCCATGGACTTTTGGATTAAATAAAATGTGTTTGGTTTTGTGTGACAGTGGCCTTTATGTGAGTTAGTTTTATCTTTAATAGAAGTGGGCAATATGCATGACATATCACAGTAAATTACATTATAGTTTTCATAATATAGATGTGGACAATATAACATGTGAGATGACCATACCATTTATACCGTGTTAGCAATCCCTTATACATCTTTGTGCATAGTAGGTCAATTTTGCAAATCAATGAGCAGGACTACTTTATGGCATTACATTTTAATAGGATTTTTACATGAGTGTGATGGATTACGTAGTCAGGTATTTCATCTGCTGTTTTTTTTTTTTTGAAAAATATACATTCCTGACTAGTTATTTTATTAGCAATAACAACAATTTCTCAAGTTAACATATTATATCACAATATATACACACACAGTAGATGTTGTGATTAGGGCTGCAACTAATTCCTTATTTTCATTAACAGTTAATTTTGATGTCTAACCATTATTTTCTCAATGATTTGATGAACTGTTGGATCTATAAAATGTCAGGAAATATATATATATTTAGATAGTTTGTTTCGTCCAACCTAAGACCCCAAGGGCATTTAGTTTATTGTCAGAAAATGGTAAGAATTCATATTTGAGAAGCTGGAAGGTGTCAGGTTTTTGAGTTTTGCATAAAAAGATTCTCAAATGAGTATTTGATTATCAAAATGGTTGCCAATTATTTCTTAATTAATTAAGCAACTAACCGTTTCAGCTCTTAAGATATGAAATTACATAAACCATTACAGAGGATTTTATCTATATCAGCACTATCATGATCTAGTTAATGGACAATCTCTTTATGGGTTGTTTTGGTAAATCTTGGAAGTACCTCATTGCATTGATTCAAAATGTTTAAATAAGAAATACAATATTGTCATTTAGAAGTTTGGCTTATTGATTTGCAACATTGCCTACAGTGGACTAAGAGATGTTAAAGAAACAGCTGCA